TAATTGCTGTGCTAGTTTTGGTCTTAAAATATTCCTAAAATTATTTGCTCTTAAAATATCTCGATCCGGAGTTTATTGCTCATTATTTAAGTTCAGCAACTTCATCAGTGTGCTATTACCCTGTGATCGATAACGTATATTTATTTATATATACCTAACATATCTATAATTATTCTTGATGTTTCTTTGCAATATCTTAGTATAAAAAGTAGCAAAAAATTATGATATAAGTATATATTTCTTTGTTTACTCTATATCTAAGGTTGGGTAATGCTAAGTTAAAAAGTTAATTAATTTTAACTTCTTTTAGTTATATTTTAGACTTAACTTTTTAACTTTACATATTTTATTGATAACTATTAATTTTTAATTTGATTTTTTAAAAGTTAATTGCAGCAAACATCAGAATTGAGTAGTTGGCGTTATACGGATCCTATATTCGGATTATATGCATTCATGTCCATCGGAGATGAATTTTTCTAATTTTAAATAATTTCAAATATTTCAATTACATTTAAATAAAGAATAAAGAGGTTTGAAAGCGATCTGTCATGACCTAAAATCACAATTTTCTCGAAAAATTAAAAGCGCAATTTATTGTTTTATAGGGATTATTTTTTTGATTCCCCAAAATAATGGGGCAAAAGCTAATCAAAATCCATGAAACACATAGATAAATCTCCCATTGTTAGTTAAAAAAGTTAACTTTTTTTAACTTAGTTTTTTAATTTAGTTAAAAAAAAAGTTAATTTGAAATCATGAAATAAAACAAATTTAATTTTTTACTTTTCAATTACTTTTTTTCATTAACTTTTAATTCAATTTTCAAGGTTGTTAACTGTAAACTTAATTTAGTAAAAAGAACCTAATTAAGCCAATCCTGTTTATATATGTTTAGGAAATGGGAATGCTAGCGTGACATAAAGTCAGTACTTCCACTTTTGACATTAATTTCCTACGAATGAGAAAGAACTATTAAATTTGAGACTAGAGCAATGAATTAATAATAAATTAGCACTTATAATATATAGGCGAATTTTTTTTTAATGATGCCAGCTTCACAGAGATCTATCGAACGTTATGAAAAATTTCGACAGATTTTTTTGGCAGAAATAAAGACTATCCCTCTAGAACTCGAGAAATAAAGTAAAATTTGAAAAATTAAGTTCTAATTTTCAAAAAAATTAGAAAAAGAATTTTAAATGTATTAACTAAATAAAACATATATTTAAAAAAAATAGAACTTCAGCCAATATATGTTTCAGAACGAGAAAGCAGTGCAATTAGTCACGGAAGCCGAGAGCTTTTCTTGGCATTTAATTGATGCCATAGCATATGACCAAGTAATTAATTGGCATGTGATGAGTTGCGATCCTAAAGTGATTTTATGCCTGGGTAAAGATCAAACTCATGCTATCGATATAGCTATCAATAAGTGAGTCTAATTCATAATGTATTCACAATATAAGAACTAATACCAGTATTGACTATAAAAATAATTTAATATACAGCTTGCTGAAAATAGCAGCAGCTTATGATCCTACGGTGAAACATTTTCATCCTACCACTCTGAAAAAGAGACAGATGTATGTACGTTCATCGGTGAAGTTGTTGATCAACTGCACTACAAGATACAAGTCTCTTCTCTCGACTAACAACAAAGCATTCACTAACACGTTATCGCAGATGCTTGACGAGATGGAAATCGTTATCACTAGCAGTGAGTATCAAGGTTCCAAAACTGACCGATCTAAGATCCTATAATACAATCTAACTTGCTCAAATCTAAATACTGAAGAGGTCAAAAATCTAAAAACCTTTCTCCTTAAAATATTACAATGTTAATTTTTTTGCCTAGCTATATCTGAGTCACAACAAGTTGCTGAAGCTGGATTGCTAATCACTGAGTTTTTGCACTCAATCAACCAAAGCGGAACATTGGTCGATCATCTTCGCAGCAGTTGGACAGCATGGTTACTAGAGCGGACTGCTAGCAGTCCGGTGTTGATGGGAATATTGAGGGTAATCGGAATGGCGGTTGCTTCTTCGTCCACTTTAGGTCACCTCATGGAGGCTGCTTTGGAAGCTTACTTTAAATACAATAGTAAACGATTATTCAACTATTCTCGTGTAACACTTGTATCTTGTTTTCTGTGTATCAGATTTAGCTTATTTATTTATGATTGAATACGTATACATTTTTAGTAACGGAAGACGTTCGACCTACGTGGGCATCAGTGTTGATGATCTTACAGCCTGTAGTACCGCGTCAGCCGCCGTTAGAGTCCGTATTGGTGTCGGAAGGAAGATTGCTAGCCCTTTACTCCGTATTGCTGAAAAGACTTCCGTCCTGCAGAGATATTCGGGAAGAGGGCATGCTTCTGATTAACTTGGTGGACTGGATTAGTGCTATTAAAACCACGTAAGTATTTCTAAAAATTAAATAAAACGAAATTCTGAGAAAGTTAATTTCGTTTATCTAGAGATATCACAGAAGACAAACTGCCTTTGCTGTGGGCAAAAACATGCGAGCTGGCCTATAGACAGTGTCAGTACAGTGAAAACACAGTGATCGCTGCCAGAGCTTTAAAGGGATTAGCACGAGCATTACTAACAATAGCGGATGATGCAGGGCAAGGATGGGGTATTCTTGGGGCTATTGGATTAAGAAAAGGTTCTCAGCTCACAGTACGGTAAGTTGTAGCAGTGTACTTATCGAAAAATAAATTTTTATTCTCTTCATACATTTAGCACTTTAATTCCATTAAATTTTCAGATGCAAGTTCCTAAGTCGCGCTATAGCTGTCTATTGTTTGGCACAATTACCGGAATCTAAATCCGATCAGCAACTAGTGAGGTATACTTCACACTCGCCCGGTGTAGCACCTTCAAGATTGACCGATCCAGACATGATGGAGATTCGTCCTAGCACAGAGGCTGTGAAAGCAATGCAGAATTTGGAAGGACTCCTGATAAATAAGCAGTACGCGGAGCTACGGGGAGACGTGGAAAGAGCCATTAGACTCATCAAGGATTCTGCCAATTCTCTTCACAATGTTGTTGAAATTGTTGGCATACTCACCATGGAGCTCTACAATCAAAGATACCTCCATGTGCTAACAGAGTGATACTAGTTTTATTTATATATAGATTTAATGATAGGCTGATAAACGCTTTAAATCGTTTCAAAGCATGATACATGATCTTATAAGATTTTTTATCGAAAGCTGAGTCGCTCTATGATGTTTAAAGCATTTCTAATTCTTCAGGATTGATTTTAATATTTCAAGCTTTGCAAAGGTTTAATAATTCAATAATTAAATATTTTAAGGAAATTCTATAAATACTTTCAGGAACTTCGACGATTGAATTGCTTGAGAACTTATGGAATTGAATGCTCATACTTAAATTTTACTAATGCAATGACGCGTTTAAATTGAATGCTACATAATCATTCATATCAATCTTGGAGATTGAGATTTATTTATTCGTTTATATTAATATTCGAATTAAATCCCTCTCAAGAAATATAATTGTGATATAGTTTCAATTTTAAATTTAATGCGTAATATAGACTTAAGATAAGTCGCGCGCATATATTTTATTTTATTTAAACTTTTTAGGTCTTTTTAGGTTATCGATCTAGTCACGAAGTTTTTTAATTTGAGACATGTAAAATCTAAGATGCATTCAATTTAAACGATTATAATCACATAGCTATATCGATAATATATAATAATTGAAATAATATTTAAGGATGCAATGGTTGTTTACACTTAACATAAAATTTGTGCATTCGACTCGCGTCATCGATACTTCGGTACCTGTGTATATGAATTCTGTGTTAAACCAATGAAATATCTGATTTATATTTATGTATTAAGATTCTGATAATACACTTATTATAATTTCGTTGTTTATATAGCACAGAGTCGTTCAAGAATAATAATTGTCATAAAAAGTCGTTGACAAATGAATAAAAAGATTATTAAATGATTCTTCAAATTAAATCGCATATGAAACTACTGAACAATTTAATGTACAACGAGATTATTATTTTTATATAAGATGCTTTTAAATTGATATTAGAAATTTACAAACAATTTTTATGGTAATACTTTGTGAACAATTCATAATATTTTGTTAAAATTCTAAAACAATATATATCCAGGGTGTCCAGCGAAATCTGACTATCCAATCAAAGACAATTACAGGACATTCTAGGTAAAAAAATTCTAGTTTTTCCAAGATATATTCATCGATTAATTTCCATCACTTGATTAATTTTCTTTCACACAATGTTATATGTTATTAAGTTAGAAATTATTTTATATTTTACAAATCTTCATATTTTTACAAAAATAACAAAAATTCGCATAACATATTTCCGTTACGAGATTGAGTCTCAGATATAAAAAATTACTGATTCTTTGGAAAATAACGTGAAACACAGTAAAAAATTAAAACGAAAATGGTCAGAAGATCTTGAGAGACGGAATGAAAATTTTTCTCAGAGCGTTAAAAATTGCTAACAAACGGTTGAAAAAAACCGTGTAGAGAGAGCATTTGGATATTCCGTGAAACCAAAGATTTGTTGTAATGGTATATTATTACTCTAATGCACATCAAAATTAGTAGTACAACTTTACTATACTCAAGTTAGAAGTATCAAGTTAGGATTCTACGACGAATGAATTAAAATGCTAACAATTCGGAACAAATTCTTTTTTCGCGATCTAATTTTTTAAATTCCAGGTTAGCCCTGAAATTCCAGGGATTTTCCAGGAATTTTCCAGAACACATTAAATTCCAGTATAATCCAGGATTCAAGGATATTCAAGGATCGCTAGATATCCTGATATCTTATCTTCCAAATTTTCATAAACAACATTCATTAGATTATCGCCTTATTCTGATGGAATCAAGAAAAAGCTACGTATTAAAACGCATTTTTGTTAAAATGCGTAAGTTACTTTCTTAAAATTCAATTGTCACAATTATCATATTTTTAAAACGCTACGGCGTGCATCTCGTAGCAGCTGCGAAGCCTCGCTGAGAGGGTACTCAATCAGCTCGCACTCAAACTGATCACTGAAAGCGTTTCTGAAAATCGGTAGCACGTCTGCGATCGTAACATCCATATCCAGCTCCCTAGAGATGCTGGTCACACTCTTGCCTTCAATGCCACAGGGCACAATGTGATCGAACCACTTAAGATCAGTATTGCAGTTGAGCGCGAGGCCATGGGTAGTAACATAACGGCTGCCGTGAATGCCTATGGCACAAATCTTGCGATCACCGACCCAGACTCCTGTGTCAGGCGAGGTCTCGGCTTTAATACCAAGCTCGGCGCACACGCGGATCACCATACGTTCCACTTCATGCACATACCACTTGATACTGGTATGAAATTGCTTGAGGTTAAGCACTGGATAAGCCACCAGCTGACCAGGTCCATGGAAGGTGATTAGCCCACCGCGGTTCGTTCTCCAGAATTCTGCACCGAGGCTTCTCAGCTTCTTCTCGTCTTCCTCCGTATATCCTTTGTTCCGTATCCCTACCGTATACACTGGCTCATGCTCCAAAAGTAATAGCGTATTTGCTACTGCGTTCAAATGTTTATGATGATGATCTGATAAAGCCTTTTGTAATTGTAGACCAACTCCGTACGGTAAACGACCGGCTAGTAAGACTTTTACCACTTGTAAATGCATTCTGATGCTCAATGACATTAAATTGAATGTTTTTAAGGCCAAAAAGCAAGAATTTTGTTAGCTCGAAAGATTTAGCGAATTCTCATCGTTTTGATTCTCCTTTTCTATAGTAATGGCCTTTGCATCAAGTGTCGTGTATAGCAGAAGGGATACCTGCAAATATGTGAAAATTGTTATTTTGAATAATGAAGATATTATCAATTGTTTAATGATTATATTTTTATTTAGCATTCTTTCATCATTTTTAAATTATAAATTATGCAAATATAGAAAAAAACATGCAAGTTAACGCTGGTTTTTATTGCGAATATCTTAATGTTGTTTCATTAATTATGGGTTGCCGAAGACACATAAACAAGATATTCCATTCGGAATGATAGTCTCTTGCATTATAATAGTCCCCTCTACCCTTTGGCTAATTTTTTATAATATTAAAAGTATTCCTAAACATTTTTATGATGATTTCATGCTGGATAATATTCATTTTTTAAAAATATAATTTTTTTTTTAATATTTTCTCTGTATGAATACTTTTTGTACTCACGGATGTATATTAGAACACTTAGTGATATGCGATTTAAAGGAGATTGTAATTAAACGTATCACCACCTTCCTTTTTATTTTAGATAATATTTTGTTTGTTGCACCAGCAAACAAAATTGATGAAATTTTAAAACTATTTAATTCTATTTATGATTAAGATTGTAATTCACTATGGAGATAGGTGAAGGTGACGGAGTTAGTTTCCTTGATGTAAAATTGATAGTTGAGGGAGAAAAAATTGTGTCCGACGTTTACAAAAAACCAATGGAATCAATGGATCTAAGAGATATTTTAATTAATATTCTTGAGGCTTCCATGGGTACTTTCTATATAAAAAATATTATGTCTGCGAAACGCATAATCTTTATTTAGATATTTTAATTATCACTCTGACCATATAGAACATAAAAAAGAATTATCATGAATTTACTTGTTAGAGCTCTGTTTCTATCGGATCCACAATTTCATGATAAGAATTTAAAAGAAATCATTTTTATACTTTTAGATGGATGAATGGATACTCTTTAGATTTTATATTTGCTATCATCAATAATAGAATAAAAAAATCATATCTATAAAAGATCTGATCATAATAACGATAAGAATAAATTTAAAAAAATTTCATAATTACCTATCATAATAATATCTCAGATAGTTTCAGAAATATAAGCAGAAATATAATCTTAACGTAGTCTTTAAACCGATTTAAATCAGCTAACTAAATTCATTGAGACAGGTAAAAACAAATTGGAACCACTTTCACGTAACATTGTCTACAAAATAAATTGTCGAGACTGTAAATCTACTTATGTTGGACAAACGAAAAGAAATCTAAAAACTCGTGTTAAAGAACATCAAAATAACATCAATAAAAAGACTGGGAATTTATTGGTTATATCTGAATATAGATTGAAAGAAAATCATGATTTTGAATGGGAAATAATAGAAGAGAAATAGTTCTAGACAAAGAACCATTTTATTATAAAAGATTTTTATCAGAGATAATATATATAAAAAAGCAGACTCATTTTAAATAAGCATAGTGATATGGAAAAAAATTCAAGTATCTATCTTCCGATATTGCAAGATACATCCCCTCTTCAAAAATAGTTGAGGAGAGGATTCTTCGTCTTTGCGTTTTTTAGTGTCAACGATACATATGTAATCGACTCGTTATATTGTAAGCATCGTGCTCTCGTCGCAATTTCGTATAGTTAACTGAGAAATTGATGGATGCGCAATAATGGTGATCAAATTGTATGGGTCTGTTGTAGACAATAATTTTCAATCTATCAACATAATGACTGTATTTTAATATCAATTTTAATCCAATTTCTTGGAAAAAATTTTTAAAGAATCTTAAATTAAAAAAACAATTTTTATTCAAATTTAATGACTGTATTACTTTAATGACTTTTCCTATTAAATTTTTTGAACTTAATGACTAATTTGACTAATTTTAATGACTTTCTTATTAAATTTATTTAACTTAATGACAAATTTAACTTCTTAAAATAAACAAAGGTTGAGTTCTTTTGTGTTGTAGAATTTTATGTTGTAGAAATGACGATTTCCATGCAAATATTGATCACGATTGTTGCAAGAAAATAAAAATAGCAAGGTAAAAAGTATAATACCAACTTTTTCTTAGTAAATTGAGCAATTGATAAAGGAAGCAAAATATCGCGTTTTACTATCGATTTCTCGGGGCATCTCATATTAGGAGCACAATTTTTTGACTTTGCGATTTTACTCACTTTTTACATTTCTTTAATTTTCGAGAAAAAAAAAATAGAATTTGAATTAAATTTTATATAACATTATTTTAAAGCTTATTAAATTCTCTTCAAAATGACCTATTATTTTTTAAAATTCTATCCATAGACTTCATTTACTCAAAATGAACTCGGTATATCATAATAGGGGTTTTTCCTCTAATATAAAATATAATTGACAAGATAAATTGAGAATATAATCAATTAAAATTTCACTTTTTTATTACTCGCCGCTATGTTTCGTACGTATATGTTTCACCCACAATATGTCTTATAGTTTTACGATCATCAAATCTAACTTTTGTAATTAATCAATTCAATATATCCTGTCATATTTTTCTATTAATACGACCTTACTCTATCACTACATGAAGAATTTATTGCCAAATATTTATTTATTAAATAATAAACAAGGTTTAAAGACTCATCTCAATGAAATTTGAAAATATTCAAATTCTAAAATCTTTTTTTACAATGACTACATGCATGATGTAGTAATGAATTTTCTACTAAATAGTTTTCAATCCAAGAGCAATACATTCAACAATACATTGATGAACTAATATATAGCGTTTATTAGTTTAACAGAAACGCCGCTTTCATATTAGGCGCCTATCTCATAATAGGGGGCTTGCCTCTATATTCTCTAACTAGTTTAATTATAAATGCTTTTAAAAATTTTAAGACAATTATTTATAATGATAGAAGAACAATAAAGGAAATTTAATAAACACGAATTTATATAAACATCGTATTCAAATATTATTGCAAATGATCTAATAATGATCGAAACATCTAGAATTTATTACATTTTGTTATAAATAACAACATTAAGATATTCGCAATAAGAACCAGCATTGACATGCTCTTTTCTATATTTGATTTACTCTAGAAATTATTATTTGATTGTATTAATATTATAAATTATAATCTTGATATTTTTACGTTTTTTTATTATAATTAATATTATCTATTTGAATATTTAATTTTTTTCGTAAATTAATATTATTTCTATGCTTTACATGATTTGATTATTCATACATATATTACATATAGATGACTTCAACTAATTTTGTACGTACATAAGCATCCGTGGCTGCGTAATTTTTCTGGGCGTTGCTGAGGGGTTGTACATGCCATTTACTCATTCGCACGTCGGGATTTTTGCTAATTTTCTTCTTCAACTAAACGTATAAAGATTTCCCATTTTAATTTTATCATCAAAATTCTGTAAAAATAACATGTAGAAACATGTAATACCAAATAAGCAGTCAATTTTTCCAAACTCCAACGACAAGATCGCTTCAAGACACGATTAGCATAAGTCCCGCAGTCCAGACAATTATTCTCTACCACTTTTTGAGCAGGAAACTCTTTGAAATCCCTCCCTAACTTCCACACGTCGCTGCAAAATATTAAATAATATACGATTATTGTTTTTTTTTTTACAAGAAGAGAAGCATTTGCGAAAGAATGCAGATAACGTCAAATGAAGTTTATGGACAATATTAAGTAAAAATAGACCGAGAAATGTTTAATACAAATGAATGAAGGAGGGCTATCTTCGATCAAGGCCGATTTCTGATTCAAATAATATCATCATATGTCTTAGTGATTGAATTGATAAGATATCCACATGAAATTTGGAAGATCCAAATTCGAATCTCGAAGTAATATTTTCGCATAAATTATATGCACCATTTTATTACAGTATGAACATTTATTACAGTGATAATATTAAACTGCTTGTCAACTTAATCTGTGTGTATTACATACTCCAGTTTCTGACTGTGTTTCAAGCTCAACAAACAACCGGCAATTTATTTGAACTGAAAATCGTAAAAATTTACACAAAAATATTAGACAGACCGAGATCCACTTTAATCGATTATGGCCTTCACTTACAGAGTTAGGATTAAGTATTGGATTGTCCAGAAAGTTCGTGCCGATTTTGAAGGAAAATTGAAACGCAGAAGATTTAAATTTTAGTATACATTTTTAGTATACATTAAATTTAAATCTTTTGCGGGACGAACTTTCCGGACAATCTAATATTTCAATAATCGAGACAATAATAAAAAAGGCACTAATTTTTTCGTCACACTTTAGTTCCAACTCTGTTCATTGAAACAAATGTAAAATAATGAAACAGCGATTATAAAGTAAATCTTACTTCAACAACAAAAAAAGATAATGCAATATATATAAATAAAGAAAATACATATGTATATACTAATAAGTTTCGATATTACGGCGTACACAACTACTGGTTCTCGATAAACCAAGCCGAATGCGATAGCATAAAATCCTTTGTTCAATGACAATTAATCACATATGGAACTTGAAAAGCAAAAAGCAAAAGTGCTTATAATGTTGTAATTTTATAAAAAATTCTGCATACTGTAAAAATTCTCTCGATTATTAATAACAATGAAAAAAATTTTAACAGTCTTGATGAAAGTCTCATATAATGCGTATATTTTTATCTATAAATAAATTATTTTAACTCTAACACGTTGAAAAAATAGTAAACAAGATCTTTTTGGAAACAATTTATTTCTCAAATACTATTCTCTAAAAAAAAAAAATGGAATAGATTATTTAATAATTACTGACTTTTTAATATTGACGCCAACGAGTTTGACTTTCGAATGACACAGGAGTTCAACAAATGCTGCTGGAAGCTTCTTCAGCGAATAGACATACAAGAGATAACATACGCTGTCCTCCAAGCAAATTTGCATCAGCGCTGTTTTTCCACTGCCAGTTTGAAAGTTGAACGGCCACTCCAAATCGAAACCTATTGGCACGATCTCCTTCTTACTGCGCTTCACTTCTTGTCTAGAAGATTAGAAAAATATATATATCCCAGGTTCAGATTTTATCTCAAATTTCTTTTATTTCTATATTCTTTAGGGTGCTATTTCATTTGTGCGTTTTTGTTGTATCACAAATGTATAAAACTGAGAGATCCTTGAATCTCCTTATCTTATATAATCAATCAATAGGCTTGAAAAATTTATCATATGGCAAAAACGCACTGCATAGCAGCCTAATTCTTTGTATTTCAGATTCTTTTTCTATCTTTTTACACTTTTGAGAAATATTTTATGTCTTCTGCACTTACATGAGATCGTCACAAATCTGAGCACAGTTAAAGAAGTCATCAGCATATTGAATGCATCCCTTGAAAACAATCAGAGGCAAAGTTTTTATGTCAGGCTCTCTTTTGGGTTCTGGTTGCTTCAACTTTTCCTATACAGAAATAAGAAATCAATTATTTATATCTTTTAGAGAAATTTTTTATCTAGAATTATCTCAAGTATTATCAATTATCAATTATCTAAAACATAAAATGACCTGAACATAATTGTTATCATCATATTTTAAATTTTGTTAATTAAGAAATTTTTGGAAATTCAAAGTTTTTTTCTTGTGATTTAAATATCTATAATTCTCTTGATCTATAAAATTTATAATGTAATAAAATATTTACTATTTGGTCCTTTAAATAAAAAGTTTGTCAATTTTTATTCGAGACAGAAATCTTCAACACAACAAATCAGACTATTTCCAATTAATGTATTCGATCCGAATTTAAGTTTGAAAGTAAAAAATGCTCCATCACTTTGTACTCGCGCGAGGCTATGCTACTCTATTACAAACCATCAACTATTCAATCGTCGTACACACCTTTAGATGCTGCGGCAAGTTCCTTGGTGAACGACGCAATCCAGCGAGTTCTACAGATACCTACAATCGGAGACTGCAGTCAGGATTACGAAACATGATGAAGAAAAAAGAAGACGAGTCAAACCGTGCTCGTGTAACTAACCTCTTCCTTGATGAAGCTGTTGGCACGTGTCGTCATCGTAATGGTGGAGAGAAGGCGGGTAGCGATTGACACTGCGCCTGCTATAATTCAAGTTCTGGAGAATCGGTCCTGATATCCAAATTCGGTCCTAAACGTGAACTTCATCTTGCCGCCAGGATTTCGACGATGCCATTGTGCCACTCTGGTTGCTAGGATTCTACTTGCCGGTTTCCCGCCAATTTTCACCTGACGAACAGCTGATACTCCAATCGGTTGTCAAGCGAGTAAAGTTCAATAAAGCGAAAGAGAAAAAGAGATGGCAAGATAAGAGAAAGAGATATGGTGTGTTCGAGGAGAACGCTATTCGCGCTATTCTGTCATTCTATCTTCATTGCTAGATTTGCTAGACGTAAAACAAGGATAGAATGATATATAAGGTGCCTCATAATTATTGATACTACAAAAAATTATGGGCAGGCAAAATTTTGGCACCTCTAAAGATAAAACATTTATTACTATTATACTTCTCTAAAAACATAGACAAACAGGAGTAGAAAAAAATAACAAAGAAAATAAAAAAGAAAATTAAAGAGAAAAAGAAAGGAAGAAGAAAAAAAGATTTGTTCTTAGGTTTGTTCGTGTTGCATGTTCCAACATCTAATAAAGTTTATATCAAATTATATATTGTAGAATGCGGATTGCGAATTGAAGATTAAAATCACAATTAGAATGATTAAAATTAGACCTTACCTTACTGATCGAATTCTAATTTTCAAATTCTAATTTTCTTAATCCTCAATCTTTTTCTACGTAGTCTGATATGAACTTGATATGGCCTGATTGTACCTGCTTATTTTATTTTAAGTAAAGTAATAATGTAATGCAACTATAAACAAGTATAGAAAGGGAATAGAAGAGAGGAAGAGAGGAGGAGGAGGAGGGTATCTTGCATGTAATATATAAAATGTTCATTTTTTTCATCGAATTTATTTAAATAAGATCTCGAACCACGTCAGAGAATCACATAAAATTACTATATACATATACATATATATATTTATATATATGTATATATGTATATATGTGTATACATGTTTATATGTAAGTTATTTAAGCGTTATATTATTATTTTGCTCTGACATAAATATACATATGCAAAGATTCTAATGTTGATAACGTTTTTTTCTAGGTGTCTTGAGATTTCCTATGTATTGACAACAGCATTTCTCTCTCTCTCTCTCTCTCTCTTTCTCTCTCCTTTTCAACTTTTATCGCATGTTTAAATAAAATAATTTAATAAAATAAACTAAATTAATTAGCAGCCAACGAAACTAATGATATCCGATACTCTCTTGATTAATTGTCAGATCTTTAAATCAGATTTTCTCATCATTACTAGATATATATTCAGTTAGTGATTTTTTTTTCTTCAAAGCAGCATTAACCTATTAAATTTCAAGTAAAGTAATGTAGCCTTTTCTGCTTTAAAATCTTGTAACTCAGTCTTAATCCAAATTTTGAAATAGTAACTGGTATTTAGAAATAAAAAAAATTGTTCTTTCCAAAAATCTAATTTACAATGAACTGGGAGATTCAGAAAAAAAATACAAAGATTAAAAGTTGAGATAAAAAAAGCGACCGATAAATATATTTAATAAATGATTTCATCTATTCTTTTAATAGAATAAATCAATACAATTGTTAGAGATGCTCTGAATATCCGGAAAATATCCGGTATCCTGTATTATCTGAATACTTTTTTTATTATCCGGTCGGATAGTTGAATATCATTAGTATCCTATAATATAATATAGATTCGGCTGAAATTTTATATTTGTGAAAGTTTGTGTCATTAAATGCAGCATTTTATTTTTTTCAGCTAAACTTCTTGCACAATTCATTTTTTCTCTTTTTCTTTTCACATTGGGAAGATAAAGAAAATTATTGCCACTATTTTTCCTCTTGCTTTTCTTTTTTTTTAGAAGCCTTGTTCGAGAAATCCGACCGGATAGATTCCGAAAGAATATGATATCGGATATCTGAAAGAATGTGATGTTGCATATCCGAGAGAATGTGATATCGAATATCTGATATCCGATAATTTTATGATCCAATGTATCTCTAATAATTATAGATTACATAAATAATATTTGTATTGATCAGGGTCTCGGTCTCATTTCAAATATATATTTTAAATAAGTTCTTGGAACCAATTTTATATATATATATATTTTTTTCGAATAAGTCGTATCAGTTATTTTATCGAATCCTGATATTGATGATATATTCTACTTAAAAAGAATCATTTACTTTTTCATTATCTCTATTTTATTATCTCTATTCATTTTTCCAGACATCTTATCCATCACTGATAGACTTGTGGAAAGAGCAACTTTTTTTATCCTCAAATACTAATTGCTGTCCAAAAATTTTGATCAGAAATTTTGAGTTATAAGGATTTAAAATAAAAGTCGTCTGGGCTTGATGAATTAAAAGCATGTGAAATTAAAAATTCTGCAATAATTATCGCACTTGAATCCTAAATCTTATAAACAACTTTTGATTGAAAATACATTTGCTAATTGCCAACCTT